TTGAATTGTGTTCGGAAACATACTGGGAGCCAATGTAGGTCTTTCAAAACCAGTGTTATGTTGTCTTGGCAGCCGCTCCCAGTCACCAGTCTAGCTGCCGCATTCTGGATTAGTTGTAGTTTCCGCATCACCTTCAAAGGTAGCCCCATGTAGAGCGCATTGCAGTAGTCCAAGTGGGAGATAACTAGAGCATGCACCACTCTGGCAAGACAGTCTGCGGGCAGGTAGGGTCTCAGCCTGCGTACCAGATGGAGCTGGTAAACAGCTGCCCTGGACACAGAATTGACCTGCGCCTCCATGGACAGCTGTGAGTCCAAAATGACTCCCAGGCTGTGCACCTGGTCCTTCAGGGGCACAGTTACCCCATTCAGGACGAGGGAGTCCTTCACACCTGCCCGCCTCCTGTCCCCCCAAAACAGTACAGTGGTACCTCGAGTTAAGTACTTAATTCGTTCCACAGGTCTGTTTTTAACCTGAAACAGTAACCTGAAGCGTATGTAACCTGAAGCGTATGTAACCTGAGGTACCACTGTACTTCTGTCTTGTCAGGATTCAACCCCAATCTGTAAGCCACCATCCATCCTCCAACCACCTCCAGACACTCACTCAGGACCTTCACCACCTTCACTGGTTCTGATTTGAAAGAGAGGTAGAACTGGGTATCATCTGCATATTGATGGACACCCAGCACAAACCCCCTGATGATCTCTCCCTGCGTCTTCATGTAGATGTTAAAAAGCATGGGGGAGAGGACGGAACCCTGAGGCACCCCACAAGTGAGGGCCCAGGGGTATGAACACTCATCCCCCAACACCACTTTCTGAACACGGCCCAGGAGGAAGGAGCAGAATCACTGTATGACAGTGCCCCCAGCTCCCAGACCCTCAAGATGGTCCACAATGTGGGGAAGAAGAAAAGATGCCCAAACAGCCTTCCCAATACATGCACACACAATTTATTTATAAAAACAATTATATGTACTGCGATTTTATGAGGGGAAATCAGAGCATAACATACTGTATATACAATAAAAAACAGATCAAAACTAAAATAATGCACCACTAGCTAACATCTCTCTCTCTCTCAGCCCCTACTCCAGTGCCCAGCCCCTACTCCAAAAATATTTGGGGTCACAAAAGAACTGAACCCCCAAGAGCTGGCCCCCCTGCCTACCACCAGCATACAAACTTGGAGCCTGGCAAGCTTCCATGGGCAAAGGAATTTCCCCCACTCCTTGCTTTCAGCTACTAACAGCAAGCAAAATTTCCCCCCAAGTAACTCACAGCCATTCCTATTTGTGTCCCGTTGAGTTCATTTGGAGTTATTCAAAGGTAAACAAACTGCAGCTTCTATTAACGTTAACATGCATGTTAGAGCTTCAGAAATATCCAGAAAAATGGGGTCAGTGTTGACAAGGCCTTGCTGTCTCCCCACATTTGCAATGCCTTATTTGCAGGTTGCCTACAAGTATTTTTCAGAATATTTTAATATTATTATAGACTGAAAGTAGCAACAAAAAATCCCCAGCTCCTCTGAAACTCATGGAAAGTAACACATGCTTCATGGTACACATGCATTTAGCTATTTATTGCACTAAACACCCATTAAACTGTCATGTACTCTGGCTCTGCTGTGCAAGACAGTGACAATGCTTTTGTTGTGCTCTCAGAAAAGCTATTTATACACTCTGAGTCATGATTCTTGAAATGGTGTTCTTTCACCACCTATTAAAAATTAGAAGCATCATTAATTCCTACAAAAGCCACTGCATGTGCTCACTGTTTGGCTCCTTGGAGAAAGAAAACATTTTCATTGTTTCAGAGTCCTATTGAAATTACAAAGATTTCAAAATCAATATAGGGTGCAAGTGTGTTCACCCATACCTGGGTATACTGATTATGATGAGGCTTGCTTTGCAACAGATACACTTTAATATTTCCTTGCACATCACAGGACTCATTTTGCAACATTCAGACTCGTTTGGCAATGCTTTTAGAAATGTTTCACACTTTCCTCTGTTTAAGGAAACTTTTTGTTTGGCAAATTGAAAATGCATGCATAATACAATTCTAGTATACCATTTTACATTCTTGCAGTTAACACTTATAGGACTGGAAGCTTCATTTTACCCAACAGCCTATAAAAAGATTCCTAAATCAAGTTCAATAAACTTGGATATATAACACAGAATCCCATTTTATATTAAATGTTTGGCCTGGTCCCTTCTTAAGAACCTACAAATGGTGGCTTCGCCTGGTTGAAGACATGCAAAGAACAAGATGGCGCCTTTGCTCCATTCCACATACAGAAACCCACAATACTGGCAGCTGAACCTTCTTTCAATACTGTCAATAGGACACTGTTCTCCACCACATTTGAGGGCAGCAGACTAACTAAAGGAGCGCACAGCTCTGTCCTCCAACATCTCACTACCATTATCTGCAGCTCAGCTTCAGACTGCCTCACTCACTAATGCAGGAGTGGGAAACCTCTGGCCTTATGAGCCTAACCAGGCCTTCCAGGCCAAGTCATGCCCACCTGCCCTACACCCGACAGCCTAAAAACACAGGAGCCTCAGGCCAATAATGCAGAACTTATGTATACTTTTGTATACATAAACATTACCATCTATCAGCCCCTCTGTAACTGACCTTAAGGTAGCCAAAGAAAAATTAAAGTGTGAGACTGTGGCATGAAACCATTGAGAGCAGCATTTCAATGCTGTAATTTGTTGTTTGAATTGGCACAGTAGGTTTTTATTAAACTACGTGTGTTCATTAGCTCGCCTGTGTTATCCATTACAGTAATACTTTGGAAGTCACATGGAATGCGTTCCAGAAGTCTGTTCAACTTCGAAATGTTCAGAAACCAAGGCGCAGCTTCCAATTGGTTTCCGATTGTGCAGGCACACCGGAAACAATAGCGGAAGCCATGGCAGACGTTTGGCTTCCAAAAACTGGAACACTCACTTCCGGTTTTCGATCGTTCAGGAGCCAGAATGTTCAACTCCCAAGACGTTCAGGAGCCAAGATACTAGTGTACTGTACTGTTTTGATGTGAATGCCACTGTTAGTGCAGCCGCAGAGACCACATAACACCGGTCTTGAAAGACCTACATTGGCTCCCAGTACGTTTCCAAGCACAATTCAAAGTGTTGGTGCTGACCTTTAAAGTCCTAAACGGCCTTGGTCCAGTATATCTAAAGGAGCGTCTCCGCCCCCATTGTTCTACCCAGACACTGAGGTCCAGCACCGAGGGCCTTCTGGCGGTTCCCTCACTGCAAGAAGCCAAGTTACAGAGAACCAGGCAGAGGGCCTTCTCAGTAGTGGCGCCTTCCCTGTGGAACGCCCTCCCACCAGATGTCAAAGAGAACAACTACCAGACTTTTAGAAGACATCTGAAGGCAGCTCTGTTTAGGGAAGCTTTTAATGTTTGATGTATTATAGTATTTTAATATTTTTTTGGAAGCTGCCCAGAGTGGCTGGGGAAGCCCAGCCAGATGGACGGGATATAAATAATAAATTATTATTATTATCTGTAGTTTATGGCATTTCATTTCCTTCTGATCACACTGTTTACAATCTCTCTCCCGCTTCCCTAGTGTAAGTATGTACCTGCAACTCAAGACAACACTTTATACATCTGATTGTTATGTACTGAAGTATATCAGACGACACAGCAATTCTTCAAACAGCTCTTCTTTATTCAGAGGCCAGAACAGAACTGAAGTGAAGGGCTCAGTCAGCCTGCTTATATAGAGCTCCAGTACCATGTTACTGTAACAACTTTCTAAAACTATCCAATCACTGAATGTCACTTTCGATCCTTCATTTGCATAACTATCTACAGTATCCATCCAATCACTGAACGTCACTTTCGATCCTTCATTTGCATAACTATCTACAGTATCCCCCTGCTGGCCCAGGGTGAGAACTTCAGTACATAACACCCCTCCCCACCGAGATAAAGCGTTAGTTACAATCGTAATGGTTTCCTTATATACAGCACTACACGTAATGGTTCAATTAGGCACAAAAGCATATCGGTTACATTTCACATACTTCCACATACTTAGACCAACAGTGTTACATATCCAACAACATAGTCCTTTAAATAAGTTGGGCACTTGGAAACTCTGCCAGACTGTCGGGGAGCGGTCCGGTCCGGTGGGCTGCCCGATTCTTGCTGAGGCTGTGGCGTGACCCTAGGTGGCGTTGAAACCAAGTCCCCTGGATCCGCTGCTGTGGGTGTAACCTCCGCGATTGGAGTTGGCGGAATGTCAGGCATGGCAGTGGTCTGAGTCTGTGGGAAGTCCGGCAGACCCTCTTAAGTGGCTTGGTTCCAGCCATTTGGAATAGGCGTCCACCACTACCATAAAGGTCCGGCCGTGAAAGGGGCCGGCCAGATCTATGTGCACCCTCGACTAGGGTGTCTTGGGCGTCTCCCAGGTGTGTCCCTTAGCTGCCGGTGGCGCAGGCCTCGATTCTTGGCACGCTTGACAGGTGGAAACCCAGGCAGTGATGGCATCGTCCATGTTAGGCCACCAGACATAACGCCGAGCCAACGCCTTCATTTTGACGATTCCCGGGTGGCCAACGTGCAGAGCCTAAAGGACACGTTGACGGAGTCTTTGGGGAATCACGACGTGGTCTCACCACAGCAGACAGCCGCGATGAGCCGAGAGTGTGTGGCTAATGTGCAATGACCTGGGTGGGGATGGAAAAACTGCTTCCTTCTCTTGAGGAGGATCGGTGGAGCAGCTGTCTGGGCTCTGAGCCTTTGGGCGGTGCAGGGAGGGGGTGTTAACTAAGAAGCATGTTTTGAAACGGGGGGGGGGGAGTTGCCCAGCTGAGATGGACAAGGCACAGCTTTCATTTGCAGACTGCCAGAATAGGGCGAGGCGAAGAACGTGTTGAAATTCCCCTATTTCCCCCCCCATTCAGTTTTTAATTCATTAATATTTGTAATATTGGAGCTCCAAGTAAGATTGGAGCTGCTTCTCTTTACAGGCCGAGCTTGGTCCTCCTCCAGTGTCTCCTTTTGGAGTTGTACCTGATTTTATTGCCAGTTTTCATGCGGATCCATTGCGGGATGGGCCGGTTCTGCTTCTGCTTCTTAGCGAGAAACCGCTTGATCTTGAAAGTCTTGTGGGAAGACATACTCAAGCTCCACCAACCGCTCACCACAATGGCTACAAACGAAAAGAGCTTGAAATGCCCCTATTACGCAATTGTCCACACCCTCAAAATCTGTTTTGCTCCCCCGATTCCCTTCCTAAGATGGCGGCTTCGGAGACGCCTCTTCCCAGGATCCGTTCCCAAGAAGGAGGTCGGTGCACAGACTATTAAAAAAGAAAACAAAAAACGGAGCAGCTTAGGGAAGCCCTCTGCCCGCGGCCATTTTTTTTACAGAGTCGACCTGCGCATTTGCCAGTCTGTTAAATCCACTCTCCTAAATGAGGCAGAGTCTCGGCAATGTTTGGAGCGCGTGGAGGAGGGAACACAGTGACAGAGAAAATCAGGGGCGTGCAGCTACGGCGGGACGACGCTGCTAATGTCGCTGAAATGGTCAGTCAGGCGCAGCGAACTAGGATGTGACGTCATTAACCTGCGACTCCGGGGTGGAAGGTCCTTCTTGACGCTATACGACCGGGACCGACAGAGCGCCTGCGGGAACTTGCCGTGGGGCTAGATGGGGGCTGCGGCCCGGGGGAAGAATGGCGAAGGGCCCCTGCAGAGGAGGGAAGCTCCGCGGCTGCGCCATTCCTCCTCAGTAGCCGGCGGTGAGCTCTTCGCCCGTCCCTCTCCCGCCGGCCGCCCCAGTCGGCTCAGGGTAGCTGGACGCCTCCCTTTCCCCTCCATGCTTTCCCCATCCCGCCGCCTTCTCCTTGCGCTTCCTCTTCGCTTTTCCTTTTCTCTCTTTTCCTTGAACCGACCGCCGCGCCCGCTTGATTCATTTTCTCCTCTGCTGTTTCTTAGGGCTCGTCGTTTCGCTTTCATAGAGCCCCTCGCAGGGGGGAGAAGGTGTTGCCAGGCCGGCGGCTCAACTCTTGAGGAGGCTGAGAAGGCAAGATGTCTTCTGGACTCAGGGCAGCGAGCCTCCCCGCCTGGAAGCGGCACATCCTGGACGAATTGAGGCGACGGGACCGGCTGCAGAGACAGGCCTTTGAAGAGATTATCTTGCAGTGTAAGTAAAGGTTTTGGTGGCTGCCTGAAAGTCTCCAGCTTAGCCCCAACAGCATACATTGTTCAAAACTGACCGCCCAACCGAATGATTGTGTGAGAGAGGCCATAGTGTGTGAGGAAGGTTATTCTTTCGGGATTGTAAACAACTTGTCGTCTGGGTGAGAGTCTCTTGAAATTTTCTTAGTCAGATTGAAGTAGCCAGCCCTGTTTTAATGGCCTTATACTTATAAGAGCATGTATGGAGAATGTTGCTTTTATGTTGCTTTGTTTTCCGGTGCAAAGGTTATAGTAAGTAAAACATTATCATCTTATTGCTGGATTGTAAAACTGGTGGTTTCTTTTGTTTTTAACTGAACTCCTCATTAGATAACAAGCTCCTGGAGAAGTCAGATTTCCATTCAGTGCTGGCTGACAAGCTACAAGTGGAAAAATATGACTTGCCAAGCCGGCATGAGATCAGGTACTTGCTGAATCAGTACAAGTGATGGTTACTGTGTCTGGTGTTGTTCCCTTTCCACCAACGACGGCTATTTGTCATAATGGCTATGTACTGCTTCCAGTATTAGTGAGAGCGTGCTGTTGCATGCATGTCCTTCTAGGGCTTCCCATAGACCTCCGGGTGATCACACTGAATGCAGAATGCTGGAATTGATGGGTGTTTGGTCTGATGCAGCAAGGCTTTTATGTTCTTAATATATGAATATATTTTAGCTCTCTTGTATAGCAGTTATTAAAACTACAGTCATACCTCGGGTTGAAGTTGCTTCAGCTTGAGCATTTTTGAGTTGCGCTCCGCGCCGACCCGGAAGTAACGGAGTGCATTACTTCCGGGTTTCGCCACTTGCGCATGCGCAGATGCTCAAAATGACGTCATGCGCAGAAGCGGCGAATCATGACGCGCGGACGCAGGTTGCGTTCGCTTCAGGATGCGAATGGGGGTCAGGAACAGATCCCGTTCGCATCCAAAGGTACCACTGTACTGTTAAGGACTGCTATAATCCTTATTGTCTGATCCCTGTACATATTTTCTTGGATGTAACTCCTCAATACCATTGGGCTTACTCCCAAGGAAGGGTACATATTATTTAATAACCAGTGATAGAAATGATACGCTAAATGTGTTGGTAATACTAGGTTTTTGAAAAGTTTAGCTAGTATGATTTTGAGCCATATAGGATATCTATAGGGTATGAAGAGAGAATGGATGTTCACTATATCTGCAGGAACTGCTGGCATTTATCTTGGAGATCAATTCACCCATAGCTAAAATGGTCAACAAAGTACATAAAATCACTGGTGTAACGAACAGGAAAAAAGAAAATCTTGATATGGAGATATGGTGCTCTGCTTATGTAATCTAAGTTCTACATTGAAACATTAATTTTACTCTTTTAAATGAAGTTAAATATGTTAAATATAGGGATAGCCATCTGAAACAAAAAATTTTGATAGAAAAATGGATTATGGAAATTGGATAAAAAGTAGTTTGAAATGCTTTGTGAATTAAAAACTCAGAATTTTTCTTTTCTCATCCTCTGGAAAATTCCAGTCCAGGACATGATGGTGCAAGGAATGATTCTCACATGCAAGAAATAGCCCAGCTTAGAATTAAGCATCAAGAGGAGCTGACAGAGCTGCACAAGAAACGTGGCGAGGTTAGGAGCACCCATTTTATCCATGTGTAACATTTCAATACTGTTCTTTTGCAGTGGTACCAAAGTAATTATAGGCTTACTGTGGGATTCAGAAGTTTGAAAACTTAACTTCTGTACAGTAGAACCTCGGTTTTCAAACGTAATCCATTCCGGAAGACCATTCGACTTCCGAAACGTTCTAAAACCGAAAGCGGAAGCCTCAGTTCAATAGGGAAACTCAAAACAGAAGCCGCATCAGATGTTTGGGTTCCAAAAAACATTCGAAACCAAAGCATTTACTTCCAGGTTTTTGGTGTTCGGGAGCCAAAGCATTCAAAACCAGAGCTGTTTGAGAACCAAGGTTTGACTGTATACTAATATTGTGACATTGGTTAATAATTACGCAGGTATCTCTTCAAGGAAAAACAATAAAGACACTTAGGTTGTATTCAGCTAACTTTTACTCAGAGTAGACCCATTGAAATCAACAGACCTATGTCATAGTTATAACTTTCAGTAGATGTATTCTAAGTGAAAATTAGTTACATGCAACTCTTTGGGTCAAGCAAATATTCCATATGTTTTCAAAGACTAGAGTAAATATTTGTAATAAATGTTTTAATAAATATTTAATAAACAACAGTACGATTTCAGCATGCATGAAATGTTATGCTAAGTTGGCAGGTGTATGTATACTTGGGTCTTCAGGAAAAAAATGAAACACTGAGGTTAGAGGAAAATCAAACACAAAAAGTAGACTGCATTAATAGTTGCTTTCCCTCAGTAACATAGTTTCCTTTACAGTTGGCCCAGTCTGTGATTGACCTGAAAAACCAAATACAACAGAAGGACAGTGAGATGCAAACGAATAATACAAAGTGAGTAGAACCCATTTACTACTTACAGAATTTGATTTTGGTGCTGGATGCCAATTTTTGGTTGAATTCTCATTAAAACTGAGTGTCTTTGCCCACTTTAGGCTGGTGCACGTGCTCTGCCCTTTCCTGGGAAAGCCAGACCTGGCTGTGGTAACACATGCCTTGGTTACACTGGATTATTGCAAAGTGCTTTACATAAGGCTACTGTTAAGAGTATTCAGATGCTTCGGTAGTCCAGAATGTGGCAGCAAGGAGGCTGGTGGGTGGGTGCCCTTGGTATCTTACTACACCTGCCTTGCATAGCCGACACTTGCTACCATTTTGCTTCTGGACTCAATTATAAGTGTTGGTGACTACATTTAGGGCCTTAAATGTCTTGGGTCCATCATAAGTGAAGGGACTGACTTATTTTGTACTCACCTGCCTGTTGTCGTAAGAACAGGTGAAGAAGCCCTTATTTATATCCCACATCAGAAGCACGGTCTGTAATAATGTCAGGGGGTTTTCTCAGTGGCCACACCAACTTTGTGGAGCATTTTGCCCTTGTGAAATTTGGGTGCCCACCTCTCCTGCTATCACTGGTGGGTGAATACCTTTTTATTCTGACATGTTTTTGCCCTGACAGGTAGCTGGTGGCTTTTTTGAATACTGTGCTTTATCTGCCTGCCTGCCTGCCTGCCTGCCTGCCTGCCTGCCTACCTGTTTTTATTTCCTTCGGTTTTGTTATACTATTTAAGTGATCTTTAAGTGTAGTGAGCTACCTGAGTCATGTTTAAGAATTAGACTGGGGTAAAGTAAAGGTAAAGGGACCCCTGACCATTAGGTCCAGTCATGACTGACTCTGGGGTTGCGGCGCTCATCTCACTTTATTGGCCGAGGGAGCCGGCTTACAGCTTCCGCGTCATGTGGCCAGCATGACTAAGCCACTTCTGGTGAACCAGAGCAGCGAATGGAAACGCCGTTTACCTTCCCGCCAGGGTACTTTTTGACGTGCACTTTTGATGTGCTTTCGAACTGCTAGGTTGGCAGGAGCAGGGACCAAGCAATGGGAGCTCACCCCATCGCGGGGATTCGAACCGCCGACCTTCTGATTGGCAAGTCCTAGGCTCTGTGGTTTAACCCACAGCGCCACCAAAATAATAAATGTATGGGTTGCCTCTCTTAAAGGATTGTAGAATATTTGCAGAAGATATCTGAACTAGAGACAGAGTGCCAGGACCTGCGGAACAAGCTACAAGATCTTGAAAGAGCCAATCAGACTCTTAAGGATGAGTATGATGCACTCCAGATTACCTTTACTGCCCTTGAAGAAAAACTGAGAAAAACTACGGAAGATAACCAAGAGCTGGTAACACGCTGGATGGCAGAGAAAGCTCAAGAAGCTAATCGGCTCAATGCAGAAAATGAGAAAGATTCCAGGTATGATACCAGCAAGTTAAAACCTTTGAATTGAGCTTAAATATGCAATAGAAGCCCCTCCCCAAAATTTATTTCCCCCAAATGTTATCCCCATCTTTTTTGGGTGAACATAGAAACTCTGTGTCTCTGTGTGTAGATCTCAGTATTTTTTCCAGTAA